CGGCAGTGCCCCAGCTGCTGTACCACAGGCGTCCGGAGCAAAGCCGCGGAGCACGGGGACAGCCCAGACGCGCCGCGGCTGTCCTGCTGCCCTCATGCTCCGCAGCTTTGCTCCCCGTCTCCCTGGTCTGCTGGTCTCCAGCAGACCGGGGAGCAAAGCGGAGCAAAGCCGCGGAGCACGCCGGTAGCGGGACAGCCGTGGCGCGTCTGGGCTGTCCGCGTGCTCCCTGGTTTCCAGCAGACCAGGGAGACGGGCAGCAAACCCCGTTCGTAACTGCGGATCCGACATAAGTTGGATCCGCGTAACTCGGGGACTGCCTGTATAATGCATATAAAGTGTTCTTAACCCTTTTTATTGTACATACTGTATACAGTATACTGTAATGTTTTAGTTTTTTAATCCTTTTTTACCCTTTTTGATCAGTTCAGCTGCTGCTATTGTTACCTTGTGACTCATTTTTTTGCCGAAGCTCACTCACTAGGCTTTTGCCATTTTGATGCCGGACTATCAGGAGTGTTGGACTATTGGATGCCGGACTATTGGAGTTTTACTGTAGTTAGTTTACTCCTCCGAGTACAGAAACAAGGAAGTGAGGGGAGACGGGCTCAGTGGCTTCCTGTATTTTGAGCTGCAGCCCAGCTAGGAGGATCCAAGGCAGAGGGTGGGGGCAGCACATAAGCGAAACGGGAGCAAGGCGCCCTTGTTGTAAAGTGTCTGCACAGGGAGCTAGTCCTGAATAACCCTCTGTACGGACAAGCCTCAGAACAGTTTCAGTAATGAAAGCCCCTTCTTGGTGGCTGTCTAGCATAAGCTCACAAAGGGCAGGGCCAGCTCTCTTCTCCCCTTCAGACTGCATTATGGATCAGTCTTTGGGCTATTGTTCCGCTCAGACACTCCTGCTTTGTGTTCCCTTGTTCTCACCATCACGCTGATCATTTAAGAGCTACGATTCTAACAGGGCTCAGTCCCCAGCAGAATTGGAAGGTTCTGAAACTCGCTCCATAAATGACAGCTCTGTACCGCACACAGCTGGTAGACACACATTCTGCTCTGTTCGATTCCTCTAAAAGCAGCCGTCGAGTGCCACATGAATAGGCCCAATAGGGTAAAATAGATGGGTGATCTCCCATGTTCTTGGGAAGGAAATCTATTGCAGATATTCCTCTGGTGAGGAAGCTGTGTTTCTTATTGCCTTCGAGTCTGCTTTCCAAGTAGAATGTCCTGTGTACGCTTTCAGGCCCTCCTCGTGCTCAGTAGATGTCCGGCTTTTACCGTCCATCTTAACTCAGACTTGGTGCACTTTGAATATTGTGAGATGAGTCGCACAACTGATGTTAAAACTCTGTGCCCAATTCCGTCCATTCTCCCCCCTCCCCCTCCTCCACAAGGGATGCTTTTGTATTTGCGAAATTATTGCTGCTGGCAATGAGTAAGTAGTCCCGTTTTCAAAGTGACGTAGGCACTTCTGAGCCAAAGAAGTAAGAGTGCTTGTGTGCACTCGCACGCCTCTTCTGCTCTCATGTGTTTCTCCCCCGCAGGATGGAGACAAATTCTGGCGAATGCCAGAGTGCTACATTCGCGGCAGCACGATTAAGTATTTGCGTATCCCCGATGAAATTATTGACATGGTGAAGGAGGAGGTGGTGTCAAAAGGAAGAGGTCGCGGTGGCATGCAGCAGCAGAAGCAACAGAAAGGCCGAGGAGGTGGAGGTGCCGGGCGAGGTAATGATCTTCTTTGCTCTCTTGCTTACAGGGGGGTGGCCACGCTTGGGTCTCAAGCAGATCTCTTGTATATGCAATTGTTCCTTTGAATGTTACGCTGGTAGTGCTGTGTGGTGTGAGAGGCCGGACTGACCCCCGAAAAAGAGCCAGCTAAGGAGGAGTAAATCCCAAAGGTGCCTGTAAGGCAGGCGAAGGTGCTGGAACTAGGTAGGAGCTTAACAAAGAAGCAAGGCCCTGAACCTGTCCATGTCCATGGCCCGTTTGTGTCAAATGGTTCTGTCCCTCTTTGCGGGAGCTTCGTGCCACCTGCTCTGCTAGCAAACCCGCTTGGGGAGCAAGTAACGTTCTGTCCGAGGGTGCATTGGATCGGATCCTTCCTGCAGGGGGCAGGGGAAGCCTCTTTCTGGCGCAGGGCGCGGGTGTAAGAGCACACCTGGCCATCCCTTGGGGAGTCTTTGCGGCTCTTGTAAGAGGCCCAGCTGCTGACTCTGGTTCACTTGCTCAGGGTTTGGCACGATCTTGCCCTGCAGTTGTGAAGCCTTCAGCTGGTGTTTAAGGCCATCGGCTTAAAGCCACCCTAAGAAATCTGTGCTGGGAGAAACGATCGTGCAGGCATTACCCCTGCCTTAGGACCCTTTTGTGGCTGGTCATTCCTTATCCTCCTCCTTCTTGTCTCCCACCCTCAAGGCCGGTTGCACCTCTGGTCAAACCTATGGGATTCACTCAGTACTGCCCCTTGCTCTCGAACCAGGTCTGACGTGTCACCTAAGGACCGTCCTGGACTGCCCACTCGTTCTGTTACAGCAGAATGTCAGGTGGCCTAGACTAGCGGTTTTCAAGTGACGGGTCGTGACCCAGGGCTGGGCGGTGAAATGTCGGGCGCTGGGCCTTGCTGAGCAGCAGGGGGAGGGGCTAAGGCAGTTCCCTGCCTGCCCAGCACCCCAGAAGGCCTGGCTCCTAGGTGGGGGCGGGAGGCCCTGAGCCCTGCCCCGGCCCTGAGCACTTGCTCCGCATTTCCATTGCCTGGGAACCTGCTGCTGGCTGCTTCTGGGGCACAGCACAGTCTGTGATGCCAGAAGAGGCAGGAAACTGCCTACGCTCCTCCCCCCACCGCTGCACAGCTGCCTGGGAGCCACTCAAGGTAAGCCCCTGCTACCGCAACCCTGAAACCCTCAAAACCAGAGCCCCTTCCTACATCCCATCATCATCCTCAGCCCCACCCCAGACCCCACACTCTACTTAAATTATGTTGGGTCGGGGACATCAATGATTTTCTTCAACTGGGACATGAGAAAAAAAAGTTTGAAAACCACCTCTGTATAGGATCAGTCTCACTATGCTCGGTGGAGCGGACTCTCCTTGCCAAATGATACCTCGACTGATTTCAATTCGATTTCTAATTTATGCTGGAGTGAGATGAGAACTGGGTCCAACGTTTCCAGGCTACAAGGTCAAATTCTGCCATGGAGTGAATGGGATCCTGTTGATTTCAATCAATGGAGTTTTATCCATTTACACCAAGGCTAAATTTGACCCTTTGCCAGTTTTATTTAAATAGTCAAGGAAAGTGGTGTTACTAAAGGACTTTCAAAGTCTAGTCAAATTATACTGGGTCGTGGGCATCAACAAATTTCTCCAGCTGGAGCACGAGGAAAAAAGTTTGAAAACCACTGACCTAGGACATCGGTGACGCACAGCTAGCTCTGTGCACCAGCAGCTGCCAAGGCTGTTAGGAAACGGTTCTGGTGACAAGCCCATCCAGTCTCACTGATCTCCTGGCATTTTCCACCGTGGTTGCAGTGCGTTAGGCAGTATCAGGGTGGAACTGGAGAGCTCATGCCAGGGACTCTGTTGGCAAAGGCGTTATCCCTAGGAATGTCAGTCCGCTCCCAGGGGAACGCAGCTCGGGTGTCTGCTGCTTCTTCTCCGCCTCGAGAAGCCTTCCCAGCGCAAAAGTGACCTTGAGACACCTGAAGGTGCCTGGCCTTCTCTTCCTCCAGTCCGGTCACCACAGCACTTGGCGGTTTGGACAAACCTTTTGCATGAAGTCTGTCCTGTCGGGCCTTGTGCCATCGCAGGATCCGCCCGGTCGAGAGCGGAGCCAATGAAACGGAGGAGCCCCTGCCGCTTTGAATAGCGAAGGGACTGTCGGACAGAGAGGCTGTAGCATGAGCTAATCAGCTGAAAGGCTTGTCTCTTGTTACTGCCACGCAGTTTGCTAAGGAGCTAGCAGGCAGGAGCAAAGCTATAATTGGGTGCACGGCTAATGCCAAGAGGAACGATCCTTTCAGCAGTCGGTTGTGTCTCTTACTCCTGGCCAGCAGGAGGGGGCACTGTAGGCCACATCTTCAGCTGCTTGGAAAGAGCAGGCAGCTTCAGGCTGGCAGTGTGGCTCCCTTCACTGACCTGACCAGTCCATGGGCGCAGTGAGCCAGATGCACGGATAGGCGGCAGAGCAAGAGTCCCCAGACGGCTCCGTGTCCCACCGGCGGCATGTAAGTTGGGTGCCCCCATCAGAAGGCTGGGAGCTGCTGTGACCTGGCTTGCGGACCCCAAGGAAGCTGTTTGTGTCAAGTCCCTAGCAACTACCACCGTGCAGAGCTGCAGTGGGGATTGTTGCTGGGTCCCCGCACAAGCCAGGTCTGCCCACATGCCGGCTCAAAGATTTACTTGCGGAGGGGAGAGTGCTGTGCGTAGTTGATGTTCGCCAATAAGTGGGTGCTTATCGGTGAATCGGTTAGGCGAGTGCACGTCTGCATCCCTGCTCACTGCAGCGCTTCCTAGAACAACGAGCTAGGAGTCCCATTTAAAAAGTTACAATTTTCAAAATAAGTGACCAGTGTGTCGGTGCACTTGGCGAGTTTTCAAATCAGTCATTTAGCAAGATGAGCACATTCTGTTGCAGGCCAAAACTAACTAACTAAAGGCTGCCACAAGGATGCAGAAATCAACATGGCGGAGAAAGTGACTCGCTCTGAAGATAGGTCAGTTACAAGAGCGAACCACCGTGTCATTACCACGGCTAGCTCCCCTCAGACCTACCTCCGCACGCAGCACCCTGACGGGGAAGGAATCCCTCTCCCGGACAGACCGCACTCATGGCGGGGCCTCAGCAACACGGAGCAGCCTCCCAGCCTGGCCCCGGGTCCACCTCTCTCCCTTGCTCCCCAATCTCTGTGCGTCCAGGTCAGCATGAACGCGCTGCCAGTGTGCTCCTCCAGCCTGACCTTCTGGTGGGAGTACGTGTGCCGGGAGTGGGCTGCTCTGGGATTCACCCTGCTCACACCCTCGCTCAGAAAGAGGCAGCAAGAGAGAAAGGGGGGGTACTTCAAAGCGGCAGCCCCCTTTGAAGCCTGGGGCTAGACTTGGTAGGGATGTTAAATATCAGGTAACTGAATAGTCAAACAAAAACCAGGACTGTGTGGCACTTTAAAGACTAACAAGATGGTTTAATAGGTGATGAGCTTTCGTGGGCCAGACCCACTTAAGTAACCTCATGAAATTGTATTGGTTAGTCGACTTTTCTATAGTCCCCGGGGGCAGGGCCGGGCAGCCACTGTATTGGAGGCAGCAGTGCAGGGTGCCAGGCAGGAGCTGGCCCGCAAGGGGAGGTAGTTTAAAAACCAGCTCCCCTCACGGACTCGCTGCCTGTCACCTTGTGCTGTGGCTGCTGATAGAGGCAGTAGCGCAGGATGGCAGCAGTCCCTGTCTGGGGAGGGCGGGTCTGAGCTCCTGGACCTGGCATAAGCCAGAACTGAGCTGGGCTGCCTGCCCGCCTGGTTCTTAATACCCTTGAAATTCAGAGTCACACCCAGAGTCACAATTCAGACTGAGCCAGGCTGCTGGCCAACCTGCTAAAAATTTACTGGCGGGGAGAAGGGAACGCATGTAGTCTACCGCGTTAACCTATAAGCTTTTACTTACCAGTTAATCAACTGTACTATTACATCCCTAGGCTCCACCTGGCACGGCTGCTTTGAAACCCTGCGTGCAGCCCGGGGCCAGCTGGGGTATCCCCAGGCTCCTCCCTGCGTTTCAAAGTGCCGTGTGGAGCCCGGGATCAGCTGGAATCCCTAAGGCTGCTGCCACACTTCAAAGGCGGAATCGCCCTATCGACTAATCAATTAGTCATATTTAACATCCTCAGTACAGGCAGTCCCTGGGTTACGTACAAGATAGGGACTGTAGGTTTGTTCTTAAGTTGAATTTGTATGTAAGTCGGAACTGGTACATATTGTAGGGGAAACTCTAGCCAAACATTTCTCCAGAGCTCAGTTTTATTCTCCCACACCTCACTTCCCTCAGTCCTTTATTCTCAAGCTGAGGTGTCTGCTGAGAAAAGCCGCTCCGCGTCTCCCTGGTCTGCTGGGGGGAAGCAGCTAGTGCGGGGTTGCCTCACCCCGTTTGTAAGTAGGGGTCCGATGTAAGTCGGATCCATGTAACCTGGGGACTGCCTGTAGTTTGACAAAAATTAACGAATGACTCGTTTCTTAACATCCCTAGCAGCGAGTCTGTTGCTAACAGTCTCCGCAGGGAGCGATCTGACACCACTCTGATGCTAGGTGGAGTGCTGTGGATTAGCACAGAGTAGATTTTAAGGTTCTTCGGAGCCATGGCAAAGGAGCCTACCAATGGGGGTGGGTGTGTGTGTGTGTGTGTGTGTGTGTTGCACCCAGATTATACCTGCGACGGAACTGCTGACTTTGCTTCTCTTCTTCCGCAGGAGTGTTCGGTGGTCGTGGCCGAGGGATACCAAGCAGCGGAAGAGGGCAGCAGGAAAAGAAGCCAGGCAGACAGTCCGCAAAGCAATGAGACGCTGTCTGTACCTTTGCCAGAGACAGTGTTGGGAGGCTATCTGATTTTGTCACCTCCAGATTGCCATGTATGTAAAGGTATTAGATTTCTAATTCCCGGTTAATCAAGCTTAACAGACTCTCTGAATCATTGTGCACCTTCTCCGCTCCTCAGAGCCTCCTCGGCTGGTAAAGCTCGGGTCATTACTGTCACCGTTTTAGCCAGTAAATCCATAATTGGAAAGATTTGGGTTCCCTTTTCAGTTTGATAAAGGAGGTGACTTCAGTAGACTCTCTCCTGAGGGGAGTTAAGTTCTGTTTAATATTTCAGGCTATCTGTATTTTAATACACCCACACGTCCCTTGTATGTTTTAAGAACTTGTGTAAACATTTTGAGGAGAGTTTGGTTTTGCTTTTTGTTTTATATTTGAACCCAGATCTGGGAGGTTTTCGTATCTGTTGCAGACACAAGACTTTTTAGTTCGAAACACTGAAATTGAGGACTTGACTTTGCTTTAAGAGCTATCTTAAAGATTTTTTTAAGCCTTTTTTAACTAGCCCTCTGTTTCTGATTAGGCAATTCTCTATCATGCCTTGGAGCATAGGCCAAGGGGAAAACACTCTTGGGTTGTATGATTTAAAAACTGAAAATAAAAAACCAGCAACTACAGGTTTTCGAATAACATCACTAATTCCTGGCTTTGACTGGTCTGTTACTATGTGTGAGTTTCACATTGGGAAGTGAAAGAGGGTAACAGCTTTTTGTTTTTGTTTTTAAGACTGCGGACAACACGACTTTGTAAACGGGTTGAAATTTTGGTGCTTGACTTAGTCTTCAGACTACTTTCTTTGAGAGGGGTTTTCACAGTGAGGTCTGAGGATGTGCTTTGGCTGATCCTTAACCCTAACGTCACTCTGGAGAGGAGTCTGAAAGAAGATTGACTTGTTCCCTCCCAAACTTGCTTCTTGCTTGGCGACACGTGGCGATTAGTTGCACTAACAAGATCTGGCATGCTTAAGCCTCCTGCAACAATCTATTCTTAGTTTTCATCTTGGAGCTGGGGGTTCGAAGGGGGAAATCCTGGCTCTGCTGAGGTGGATGGGAATCCCCCATTGACTGTAGCAAGGACAGAATTTCCCCCATTGACTTCAGCTGTGCTAGGATTTTCCCCCAGTCTTCAGTGGTTGTGTTCCCTGAAGGAGAAGTGCTCCTAGATTAGCCCTGCTGACCTGTTCAGACTCAGCGTGGAAGCAAGGCCAATTAAAAAATGACCTTTTCCATTTGTACAGGTAACTTACCCTTCAGCTCTTGAGGTGTGTCTAGACTACAGGGGTTTGTCGACAAAAGTGGACTTTTGTCGA